CTGCCCAGAGGAGATTCCGCCCGGGAGCGGCTGCTCCGGCGCCTCCGAGAAGGGGCCTTCGGGAGGACGGGACGGCGACGGCGGCGACCGGGGTCCAGGCAGGACTCGGGTGAGGCCGGGAAACGCGGGGGTGACCCGCGGCTGACAGAAGACCCCGGGTGTTGTCCGTCTGGAAAACGCCTCAGCTACGTAGAGGTCGCCCGGCGAGACTGGGCTGGGCTGCATTGTCCGAGGCCTGGGTCTCCGGTCCAGAGCCCGGGGCCTGGTTCCCCGAGGCGCATTCGGAGAGGCCTCCTAGAAAGACCCTTAATTGCCCGCGCCTGGATATGGCGCAGCGTGGCTCTCCGAGGCAGGGAGCTGGAATCTGCTTGGGGGAAGGCAGTCATTCACTGTGGCTTCCTGAGATGCACAGTGGCCTGGGTTTTTGGGAGAGGGACTAGGGTTTATTTCAGGTTCTCTTTCATGCTATGAGATGCTACAGTTTGTGCAGGGGTTTTGTGTTCTTATGCTCTTAATGGAATAACAATCTTTGAGTTTAAAGTTTTTGTTTTTGCAAAACTTTAAGAAGCAGCATTGAGCCTTAGTAATGAAAGGTTCATGGTTCAACTTCTACCCTATTGCAGAAATTCCTTCTAACACCGTTTTCCTAACCTGGTCTGACATCAGCTCGGTGCTTTCAAAGGAGACCATCCCAATAGAGGGCTCTTCTGTTAAGTCTTTATTCAGTGTCACTTTCCAAGTGAGCCTTCCCAAAAATAGTCAAACTATTTTTATTGGAAAATTCTTCCGTTCATCTGTTGTCATTTCTGCCATGAGTGTTTACCATGGCTGCTGTATTCCAGGCACTGTTCTAAGCACCGAGGGCATCAGCATACAAACTTCACAGAAACCCCCATGCCCCCACCAAACTTACATTTCAGTAAGAAAACATAGATAGTAAATTAAATAAACTTTTGTTGGTAGACATTGGTAAACCTATGAGGAGAAGTAAAACAGGACAGGTGTGCAATTCCAAGCACTCTGAACTGGGAAAGTGCATTTGGAAAGTGACATTTGAACAGAAACTTGAAGGGAGCCAGCAAGCCCCGGGAGGATTGTTTGAAAGAGGAGTTGATAGCAAGGAGCCAGGCGTACAGAAGTCCCGCATGGGAGCACGGCACCGTGCAGGAGCTGAGCAGAGTGCTCAGGTGCATGGCTGGGGCACTGGAGAAGGTACAAAAGGTTAAGTTCTGTACTGCATTAGAGGCCATTGTGAAATAGCTTAAAAAGCCAAGGAGGGTTTTTAACATAGAAGTTCTGTGAATTTACTAGAGTTTAAAGGGATCGTTCTTGTTTTTATTCAGGCAGGGTCTTGTTCACTATGTAGCCCAGCCTGGCTTCTAACTCTTACAATCCTGATTCAGCCTCCAGAATGCTGGGATTACAGGTGAATACCATATCTGGCCAGTTTAGCCATTTGAATCCAGGGACCTGAAGACATTTCAGAGATTTTGGCATCTATGTGGTTGTTAAGGCTTGCATCTTGATGCTCCCACCACCAAAGCCCCATGTACTTATAGGTGGGGCTTTTCCAAGGTGGCTGGGTCTAGGGTGTGTGATGCCGAGATTAAGGGTGAATGATAACTAAATTAGTTAGCATAGTTCTGGGTGTGAATGATGAGAAGGCCCCCCCTGGGTGTGGGTGCACCAATCAATAGGCTTGTAGCCTGGATGGAATGTAAGGGGAAAAGAAGGAAGGCAGGGTGCTACTGCTGCTTCCTGCCTGCCAGCCATGTCATGGACTATTTCTCCTCTGCAATTCCCCTCTGCCGTGCTACCCTGCCTTGGAACCAGTCAATTACGAACTGAAACCTCTACAGACTGTGAGCTAAAATAAATCTTTCCTCCTTTTATTATAGGTATTTTGTCTCAGGAATGAGAAAATTAACTAAGACTGGTATTTTAAGTCATAAACTGAAGTGTTGTAGCTGAAGAACAGCAGTCCAGAAGAGCTCCTGCTACAGGTTGGAGGAACCTGTAAGAGACTAGAAAGGAGCAATGGTTAGATAGGAAAAGCCCTCCAGATACAAGGTTTTGCAGTGGTTTTTGAGGAAGGAGAAATTAACCCAATTGAATCCGTATAGATCCTGATGGTTCAAGTTAGATGAGCTCTGGGTTGGCCATTAGGACTGGCCACATAGAGGTCATGAGGGCCCTTCACAGGAGCAGTTTTGGGGAATAAGAGCACATGTCCCTGAAATGGGTATGCAAGGGTGGCAAACTAAGCACAGATAATTCTCTCACACACTTTCGTTGTCAAAGTACAGAGAAATGGAGCAGTTGTCTGAGATGTGGTGAAGAAGGAAGAGTGGTGATGTCGAGTAGAGGAGCAGAGATTGCCGGGTGAAGGAGATGCAGGGTCCCATGCACACGCCCACATCTTGGGAAGGCACTGTGGCCCTAGGAGAACAGTTCACAGCGAAGGGAGGAAGACAGACAAAGATCAGGGGGTCATGGGGGGAGCCATTGTCATGGGAAATGTGCCATGGAGAGTGACAATGAGCCAGGTGTGAAACTAGGAGCTCACATAGAAGCGACCTGGGGCTGGGGTGAGCAGCAGTAGCGGGAGACTCAAGGTCAGTCAGTTTGATGGCCTCTGTTTGAGGCTGGGGTTGGGGAGGAAGAGGATGAGAGGCCAGTAAGCATGGGCACACTACTCCTGGGAAGGATCTGGGGATACAGCCCCACCTGACAGGATGCAGTCTCAAGGACGAAGGGAACGCTGGGAGGAGGGACTGGGCCTGTGAGGTCTGCTGACAATGGATGTGTATCCAGAGGTCTAGAGACTCGGGGACTCCTCATTCCCTGTGGCATTTGGCACACATGAGGTGGCTCTGGAGGCATAAACTTGGTGTCTCTGGGCTGAAGGCGGACTGCAGCACTGTGCCTCTCGGATGCTAGGGACAGCCAGCCTTACCTCCTAGCTCCCAGGCACAGTCTGCGGCTCATGACAGCGTCACTCGGGTCTCTGCTACTCTGCACCACTTAGTGATGGTATTGAGGGTGCTGTCATCACAAGACCCCACTGACGCAGTCTGCAGACTTGGGCCATGCGGAGTAAGGGTTGTGGTGGTCCGGTATCGTGGGGCCACTTTTCAGCCTCTGGGAAGCTGTGCGGGTGTGAGGGACACAGTGCCCTGGGAGTCTGGGTCCTGTGGAACAGTGAGAACATCTGGGGACTTGGGCAGGTGGTGGGGCAGCTCTGTCTAGGGGATCTGCAGGTAGAGGCAGGAGGGCTTGACAGTGGGGCTGGGAGGCTGGGCTCGCATTGACACATGGCTCAGCATCAGTGGTACCTCCGGTGTGAGCTTTTCCAGTCCTTACCTTGCCTGGGCAGAACTCACTGCTCTCCTGTGTGTTGTGCTCTGCAGCCGTTCCTCCTGTCATGTTCTCATGGGACTGTCCTTGCCTCCCATGTCCACTATGAGATTTCCAGGTCTAATGGACACAGATCTAACAGACATTTTAGAAGTCCTGCCTGCCCTGCAGTCCCCTCCCCTCCATCCGATCAGATGTCTCCTCTGTGCTGCCCTGAACTCATAGCTATCTCGGCATTGCCCTCCCTGCATCGCACCCCATAGCGTCTGTACTCACGCATCCTGCCTGGTCCCTGGCTCCTACCAGCACCTGGTGTATAGATAAAGACTTGAATAAAAGTACAGTCTTTTACCTTTGCAGATTCTGCTTTAAATTACCTTTGATTTCATTCCTACTTTCAAATGTTATAGTTTGGCAAATACTTAGCTACAAAGTATATCATAAGTCACGATTGTTACTTTTTAGGGTGTGTTTGTCATAGACCTCTTACTTTTTATCAATAAGTACTACAGCCTTTCCTTTCCTGTCCTTTCTCTTCCTTCCCTTTCAGCAATGGAGTCTCCGGAGATAGGTCCTGACTCAGTGACCACAGGAATTAAGAGACGCGTGAAAGACAAAAGAGTTTCAAAGACTACATTGAACGTTTCTCTTGCTTCAAAAATCAAAACAAAAATAATAAGTAAGTTCCCTTAGTTCCCAATTATACTCACATTTATACCTTTTCCTGGAGAAGTGATATGTTTGCTACCATATATCAAATAGAGAAAATTACTCAAGTGTCTATCTTATCACCTGTTTTCCATCCTCCTTCCTGTGTCCTTTGGCTCCTTTGGCTGCTTTCCTGGTTTACCCTCAGGTGATAGTTGTGTTTTTGGCAGAGGTAGGAGCTGTACAGCCCAAGGAAGCTACCTCTTTTCCTGCAAAGAAAACTGCACCATGACTTCTCTGGAAAAGAGCCAAGGGAGCAGCAGATTGCTCTGGCTTGCTGTGGCAGTTGGGTGACCGTGGCCTAAGGGTGGGCAGAGACAGACAGGGCTGCAGTGGTGATTGTGGCCAGGGCACTGTGCACTGTGGAAGTGGGGTGTCATGCATTCTGGAGCTATCGGAAAGGCAAGAAAAGATGGGACGATGTTTTTGTCACCTCTGTATATGATTCCTGGGGTGTGTCCCCTCCTTGCTGGGGTGGGGCAGGTTCCTGCAGTCATATCTCCTGCTGAGGGAGCCCCTGTGAAGGACAGCTGGGGTCAGCTGCACCCCTTGAGCATCTAGACCATGGTCTCGGGGGTGTCCGGGGTTAGCCCGCCTCCCATGGTGGCTGCTGCCTGGTCTGTGGCAGGATGGTGTGGGCCTGCTGCTAGGGAGTGGAGTGCTTTCCTCACAGACTGCAACAGAGACTGTCATTGCCCTTCAGCCTCTGGAGACCCTGACTCGGTCCCTTTCCTCTGACAGTGCCAAGCAGGGCTGTTTGAAACCACGCTCGGCCAAAGGTAAAGTGGTTTTGGGGAACATGTTTTTCAGGTGCCCAAACTGTCTAGTATATTTTATGAAATTTTATATTTGCTACACTTTTATAATATGCAAATTATGAAAATACAATTATGCTTAAGTGTACTAAAGAAACAATATATTTAAAGCAAGCTTAACCTAAAAATTCACATTGAAATTTCATTGCTACCAACTATTTCAGTAGTGATTTAAATCACATGTACCCAGTACTTTTAAAAAGAGGTCAAGTGTAGGGCCAGGGATTTATCTCAGTGGTTCTACCACCTGCCTCCCAAGCGGAAGGACATGAGTTCGATCCCTGGTACCCCAAAAAAAGAGGTCAAGTGTAGATTGCAGTAGATTCCTGGTAGGGGTTGGCTGGAGGCAGATGCTCTCTCAGGGTTGAATACCCCACGTGATGTCACAGCAAGGAGACCCCTGGAATGAGAACTGTCTTAGCTTGGTTGTGGAGCCACAGAAACTGGTTTTATAATTTCTAGGACAGGCATTGCTGTGGGGGCAACTTTCCATGTGGGTATCTAGAGTCCAGTGTGGTGACCGATGTCACTGCCTGGAAGGCTGTGTCTGCGTGGCTTCTCCGTTCCTGACGCGGTTGACGCACATTCTGCACCACTCAGCTCTGCTCATCTACCTAGCTTTTGTTTTTTCAGCTTCAAACTCTGGCGCACATTTTTCAAACTTTCATCTATTTTGCCATTCTCCCAACCTCCAATTAAGACTTAAAAAGAAAAATTCATTTTGTCTGAAGTAGTTCACTAAGGAATGTGAAAATTTATATAAGTTCATTATTAACTCTTTAAAAAAATCTGTTTTGCAGACAATTCTTCTATTTTCAAAATTTCCCTAAAGCACAACAACAGAGCATTGGCTCAGGCTCTCAGTAGGGAGAAAGAAAACTCTCGAAGAATTGCAACTGAAAAGATGCTGTTGCAAAAAGAAGTGGAGAAACTGAATTTTGAGAATGCCTTTCTTCGACTAAAGCTAGATAACTTGGTAGGTAAGATACACTGTTTTTGAATTCCATCTTATAATTAAAATCTTTGAACTAAATTAATATAGAAACTCTAAAAATGTTTTTCATATCTCCAGCTGTTGTAAAGAATTGTTGAAAGTCAGCATTACATGAATCCGTTAAAGGACAGACATCTGTTACTCCCAGGCTCCTGAAGTCTGACTTGAAAGTACCCTTGTGTGCTCTGTAACCACAGTCATATTGTGATCTATATTAGATTGCTCATCATTAGCAACACCTGGTCTATTAGTACTTAAAAGCAAACATAAGTACTACAGGGAATTACAAGAAAGGAGTTCCTGGAGGGTGTGTAGTCCGCACTAATCCTAACATTTCAGAGCCTACAAGCCAAATTGAATGGAGGCTGTAATTAGTGCTTTTCTTTCCAACTTTTAGTCTGTCTGCAAGTGGGCAGTGAGAGCCAAGGGTTGGTTGGCTAGGTTGCAGCTATAGATTTAAATCTAACATGAGCAAAAATTAATTTAAAATGGAAAACTGTCTCGTTATACTTGAAGATTAAATTGCTATGGCTATCCAACTGTTACTTACCATGTGATCTCTTTATGAGAAGAGAGAAAAGTGTCTATAGGAAAATTTATAATTGATATCTCAATAGCATTCAAAATCTGTTGGTGTGTGTATATGTGCATGTATGGCTATTCAGTGTAATGCCTTTTTAGCTCAGTAGAAAGTATTCATAAATGTATGGTTGTCAAACTCCAAATTTTAACTGATTAAGACAGGTCTTTATTTTACATGTGTAGAATAAGAAGCTGATAGAAATAGAATTACTTCTGAGCAATAACTTGATAACTGCAATTGAAATGAGCAGTCTTTCTGAGGTAAGTGAATTTATGTGTGAGTAATATTTTTAGCATTACTGAGGATAACAGGTTAAGTAGCATCAAGGTTAGAGATTTGTATTTTAAACTTTGTACAAAGAAAGTACAGTCCCTGTTTTAACTGGCTAACTATTCATTATCATTTTGTGTAATTGATTATTGAAACTATTACATAAAAGTCAGATTTTGATTACAAGTAATAGGATTATCCACACCTTGCTAATAGCTTAGTTCAGGGTCACAGAAGCAGGAAGCAGAGTGGGACTCTTGAGTAAAGGCTGCTCATGGGAAAGCATTGGCCCTAAACAGACTTGTAAACATGAAAGCTCAGTAGGATGGTAGTGTTTCTGATGAGGAAAGAGTTGGTGTGCTCCTGAAATAAAATGTTAGGCACATTTGAAAGGCTATAGGGGAGGAAAATAGGGGCAGATTCTATTTATACCACCTTCTAAAATAAATTCTAGATGGATTTAAATATTTTAAAAAGCCTTAGAATAAGAACAAAAATAAATTCAAGTTAGGTAGAAGAGACCACTATACAAGCAAAGATAATAACCATAAAGGAAATCAGAAATGGAGAAAAGATTTTAGAGGGTTAAAAGTCATTCACATAAAAGATATGAATGGCAAACTGGGAAAATTATTTAAACATATGCCAGACAAAACATTAACATTACCAATAAGGACTGCTTATAATCTAGAATGAGAAAAAGAAAAATTAAGGGTAAAGGACTGAATGCAAGTGAAATTAATTCAAATTTGTAACATAGAAAAAAAGTGTTGAGAAAGAATTATTGATAAGAAGGCAAAATGTGCGTGATATATAAAACAAAGAAACATTTGTGAAATCTGAATTTTAGATAAATTCCTTTTAGATTCTGAGGCAGTTTAGTGCTTCAGAGTGTGGCTAATAAATGAGATTACTTTTATTCAAATCTCAGCTTCCTGGGCCTGTGACCTTGAATTTAAGCACTTTAAATTTTCTTTTCCTTATTAAACAAGGTGTGGATAATGGTTATATCCACAAAGTTATGACTTCAATTTGGTTAGCATGTGTTCTGATAGTAGAAAGAATGCAAAAAATGTTTCCTTTTATGAGTATTTTCCTGTGTTTTCTAAGTTTTTTGCAAATCCTTCCTTTTATAAACTTCTAAAAGTCACTTATAAAGCTCTTTTGAGTTTAAATATGGTGTCCTTGTGGTAAGAAGACCAGAACTGTTTCACCCTATATGGTCAATATTCAGCTCTTTTGTCAGGTTTTTTTTTGTTTGTTTGTTTTGTTTTTTTTTGTATCAGAGATCGAACTCTGGTCCTTGCGCTTGCAAAGCAGGTGGCAGAACCACTGAGCTAAATCCTTGGTCTTTGTCAGAATTTTTTAAAAACCTAGCCAAAGAAAATACACTTAGTAGTATAACTCAATCCACTTTAAGAATTTGTGTAAATATCCCTATGGAATCAAGTTCACAGGTAGTACAAACTGCTAGCATTAGAACATGAGGCTCAAGGTAGCCTGTGACCAGGAGTGTGTTTTATACTTAGCACCTGAACTTACAGCTTCCTCATTCCTGGGACAGAAAACCTGATACCTACAACTTAAAGGAAGAGAGTTTATTTAGGCTCACAGTTTCAATGGATTCCATCCATGGTCTGTGGACTCCAAGGCAGAGTGGCATGGTGGGAGGAAAGCTGTCCACTGCATGGCCCCAGGAAGCAGCGCATGAAGGGAGGAGCTGGGAACAAGAGCACACCTCCCAGGTCACGCCCCTGTGACCCGTCTTCTCTGAACAGGTCCCACCTCTGAATTGGAGGCTGGGGGACATTATAGATGTAAACCATAATGTTCTGTCCCTGATCTCCAGAAAGCTCGTGTCTGACTTATTAGACAAAATGCATTTAGTCCATCTCTAAGAGTTGCCAAAGTCCTAACAATTCTAGAGTTGCTGAAAAAGCCAAGGCCAAAGTCTCTTCTAAGACTTGAGGCAAACACTTAGCTGTGAGCCCCTGTGAAAATGAAAAAAGAAAATTAAATACTTCCAACATGCAATGGCACAGGATAAGCATTCCTATTCCAAAAGGGAGGAATAGGGGATTAGAAAGAAATGAGACCAAAGCAAGACTGAAATGCAGCAATGCAACATTAAATCCTGTAGCCCGTGTCCAGGGCCCAGGGTGGGTAGAGAGCCATTCACTGAGTGGCAGCCAGGAAGCATAGAGTGAAGGGAGGAGTAGGGCCAAGGCTGTACCCTTCAAAGTCACACCCTGTGACCAGGGCTGGCATCCAAACGTGATATTCTTAGGGGCCCTCCAGGTAGCTGCTTTGCCTGGTGAGGTGGGTGGTAGTGGGGGCCTCTGCTCCACTGTTCAACTTGGAACTAAAAGGCCTTGAATAAACACAGCCTGGCATCTGCTAGAGCAGCACAGGGTGGCAGGAGAGGAAGAGGGAGGAGCTTTGGGGAGCTGATGGCCCTGAAACCATGCTCCACTGTTGGGAATGTCGTAGAAGAAAGCCTCCTCTCTCCCCTGGTTCTTTTATGTCTTTGTGAAGTTGGCATGGTTCGCTTGTACTTCTTGGGGAACTCAGGGATGAGTTGGCAGCAGAGTTACAGAACAGCAAACCAGGGAGTGGGCGGCTCCCCAGCTGCTTGACTGGAGTCTGACTTCTGCGTGTGGTGGTTCGCTTTCCTTGTGGCTGTTCTGAGTGGGCGTCAGGGAAGGGTAAGGCAGCCCCATGACTGACATTGGGATATTAAAACTAGTAGTTTTCACTGTTTTCTTGGAGAGTTAGATGGAGCTCTTCTGCCGCCGTCCGGCCTGGGCTGTGGAGAGTGGGGCACTCTTTGTGAACTCTGCTGTCTGTGGGGATCAGTCCCTAGGAGACTCCTTCTGTGGTCAGTTTTATTGTCTATCCCTGGAAAATTACCTGCGATATCTATTTTATTTTGTTCTTTTAAAAGTCATCTTTCTAATTTATTTTGAATTTACTATTTTGGTGTTTCCAGTTTACTAATTTGTATTTATTTTTAATAAATTCTTTCTTTGCCGTTCTGTGTTTAGGTTATTTTTCTAATTTAGAGTGAATACTTACTTTATTCTGTTCTTATTCTTTCATAACTCTAGTAGGCAAGATGCCATTCCTCTCTTCCTGCTGTCAGAATTTTTTTTGTTATATTTAGTTTTGAAAATTTAGACTTTGATGGTTTGGGCATGAACTTCTTTGGGTTCATCTTTTTTGGGGTTCACTGTGCTCCTTGGACCTGTAGGTTGATGACACTACCCAGTTTGGGACATTTCCACCACAGCTCTGCAGATGTCCTGGCCCTGCCATCTGCCCTCTGCTGCTGCCCACATGGCGTTGACTATTCATTTCTTAAATTCTCTTTTCTCTCTTAGTTTGGGTAATTTCTGTTGTTCTGTCTTCTACTTCACCGACTTTTCCTCTCTGTTTTTGCTATTGAGCCCTTGGAATTTTATTTTATTTTATTTTGGTTCTATTTTCGGTTCTAAATTTTCATTTGGTTCATTAAAAATTCTGTTTTTGATAACTTGCTAGTTCTGTTCTGAGTCTTGTTTGGTTTTTTTTCATTTAAGCAGATTAGTAGTTGATTACTGAAGCATTTTTATGATGTTTACTTTAAAATCCGTGTCGGGTAACTTCAACATTTGTGTCATATCAGAGTTCAAAGTCAGGTTTTCCTAGCCTTTGGTATGGCAGGTGATTTCCTATTGGACCTGGGACATCCTAGGTGTGCCGTGTTGAGGCACTGTGGGTGTCCTCGCTCTTCTGTTAGCAGATTCCCCCATCCACTCTACACGAGGAGGCGTAGCAGTAGGGTCAGACTTCAGGCCCCTGCAGCTTAGCAGAGCCGCACCCTGCCCTGGTCAGCGGGAGAGGCCTCACCACACGGCTCTGTGTTACATCATTTCCTGGTCTTTTTGACCCCTATTTAACAAACATGTTTATGTTAGAAAATTTGGAAAATAGCAAAAATATGAAAGAGTAGTATCACCTGGTCTTCAAATTATAGAAATGTATGAGAGAATCTAAGTGTATAATATATAAGCGCAGAGATCCTGTATATGTGTGGATGTATGCATTTACTTCCATGCACAGAAAAAAGTCTGGAGGGATCCTGAACAGAGCCCTGGTAGGGAGCATGGTGGGTTATGGAGGCAGTGAGGAGCTGTTCCTGCCTCACCCTGTTCCTCTCACCCGGTGCTGGAAGGCTGATGTGGGAATTGTTCTGTTACTGTTGGCATCCTCAGTAATTTGGTACTTATTTGTTGCTTTCCATTTTCTTTGTTGTTTTCAAAACCAGTTCCACCAGAGCTCCTTTCTGCCATCCAATAGCAAAAAGAAACGACCCAGCAAACAGTGTGAGTTGATCTGTCTTCCATTCGCGAGGTAATTGCTGCAGAATTTGGTGAAATACTGACTTGCAAACTTAAAATGTGGAAGAAGGTAGATTGGACTTTTAATAATTTTTATTTAGTGCCTGCCTGCCTGCCTGCCTGCCTTCCTTCCTTCCTTTTCTTCCTTTTTGGAGACAGAGTCTCACTTTATAATTCAGGCTGGCCTTGAGCTCACTATGTAGCCCAGGCTGGCCTCACACTTGCATTGATCCTCCTGCCTCAGCCTTCCAAGTGTTGGGATTACAGGTGTGCACCACCATGCCCAACTTTGTGTGTTTTCTTGAACACAGAAAAAACATTTTCTTTTTTTCTTTTTTTTTTTTTTTTTTTTGGTACCGGGGATTGAACTCGGATCCTTGTGCTGCAAGGCAGGCCACCGAACCACTGAGTTAAATCCCCGGCCCCAGAAAAAACATTTTTTTTTTTTCTTTTTTTTTTTTTTTTTTTTTTTTTTTTTTTGGTACCGGGGATTGAACTCGGATCCTTGTGCTGCAAGGCAGGCCACCGAACCACTGAGTTAAATCCCCGGCCCCAGAAAAAACATTTTAAAACAAATAATGAAATTTATTTCTAATACATCATAAAAAATTGCATTGCTAACATCACAGTAGTAAAAGAAATTAGACATTCTCATAGAAGTCAGTTATGAATGTAGAAATAGTACTTGGCTTTCTTATGAACACCTCTAGTGAAAGAAGAAAAGGAAGAAAAGAAAGGCAGGTGGTGGAGGGGGAGAAGGCAGCCAGCCAGCCCAGGTGCACTCTGAGCTGCCGTGACTCAGAGCACACTATTTTCCATGATCCAGTCTGGGTTTCTGTCCCCAGACAGCATTGAGGGTTTGTCACCCTCGCAGGTTTGTGGGATCTGATATTCAGGCTATAATTTCAGGAAGCTCAGCCCTCAGTTCAGTAAGTTCATCTGCTGTATCCTGCTACTTTTCATTTCTTTTGTTGTTGTTCTAGCCTGTTTTTTTGCTGGGGAATTTGTTTGTACCAGGCTTCAAGATTGACTTTGATCTTTACTTTTCTCCTGCTAAAATTCTCATTTTTTTATTTACTTGGTAATAAGTCATAGAAAGTGCTTTTCATGAAGCCTTTCACCTAAAAAGACAGTCACTGAGGCCTAGAAAATCGAAACGACTCAGGTAGCTGACAGCATAGACCTGAGTCTTCTTGTCCCTTTCAGACAGTGTTTTGTCTGTTCTACAACTTACGGGTTTAAAGTTTTTATAGGAGGGCCTTAAGTAAAAGCATTAAACCAATGAAGGGACTTATATATTAAAACAATATGTTTCATAGTTTAAAAGAAAAGCTCACATCTCTTGTGTCACTTTCTATTCATCCTGATTTTATCCATTGATTTACCTGTTATGTACAGTATGACCCCTTTATACTAGTACATTTTAATCACTGTAATTTTGAAATAGTAAATTTTATTGTCATGTAGGTCTGTAGGTTTTTTAAAAAAATCTGATGACATTCAAGCACATGAGTCGAACAACTTGCTCTCCAAAAAATTTCATATTTTTTGAGTGAATATTTGTCCCAAGTACAACGTACATATTAGAACTTGACAAATGAACAACTCGTGCCCAGACCAAGAAGGAGAACGTTAGCACTACCTCAGACACCACCCAGTGATAAAGGCTATTCTGACTGCTGACATCACTGGTGGCTCATGTGATTTTGAACTTCCTGTAGTGCTTGGCTCACTTCCTGTGGCTGCTGTGCTAAGCAGTGTGACATTGTCCATCATACTATGTGTGGCTGTAGACCATGATTCTCAGTGCTGTGTAGGCTTCCTGTTTGATCATACCATAGGATCTCCATTCTTAGGGCAAGCATTTTATTCTGACTTTCGTCTGCTACAAATTGCACCAAGTTTCCTAATATCTAGGATTAGAATTACGAAGTTTAGGTATATTTAACTGTAGGAGAAACTGCCAAATAGTTTTCTGGAAGTGTTTTACAAGTTTATATTCCTTCCAGCAGTAGATATGGATTTATGTTCTGTGTCTTCAGTAATACTTGCTCATTTCAGCCTTCTTGGAGGTGTGTAGTCATATTGAGTTGAGGTTTTGATTTTAATTTCCATGATAACCAATGAAGGTAAGCATTGGGTTTTCTACCCTTTTTTAAGCTGTTCTTTATATGCATGCTTTATGTGTAACAAATATTTTTATTCTGTGGTTTACCATTCTTTCTCTTAAGGGCATCATTAGATGAACAGAAATTCTTTATAAAATCTGTGTGCATTCATATGTGTGCATGTGTGTGTTCCTTCCCAGTCCATATTCTTGCAATTTTTTTATTACTACTTTTTGTATCCTTTTTACAGAAAAAATCTTCATTGATTACAAGGTCACTAGATGTTCCCTTATTTCCTTCCAAAAGTAGTTTTAATTTCCTTTTCTTGTTTGTAGTTCAGTCTTCCTAGAGTTTGGGGTGTGATGTCAGGGAGAATCATGATTCATTTCTTTCTGTGGGGACATTCTGCTGATCTTAAGCCATTGTGGAAACACTGACTTTTCTCTGCCCCACTGGGGTGTTGCCCGTGTCACACACGAAATCAGTGACTGTGGGGAAGGTTCTGTTTTCTGAATCCTCTCTTCTGTTCCATGCGTCTTTTTGTCAATCAAACTGTCTTAATTATTAGCCTTATAGCAAGTCTTCCTACTTCATAATGTGAGTCTCCATTGTAATTATTTTTTATTTAGTATTATCTTGACTGTTTTGGGGTCTTTTTGCATTTCTTTATGAATTTTAGAATAAACTGGTCAATTTATACACACGTACAAAGCTAGAATTTTGATTGGGATTGTGTGGACTATAGCTCAATTTGGAGAAAACTGACATTTTATAAAATAGATTGTTTCATCTATAAACATGTTATATCACTTAGTTTACTTACATATTATGTTTTTATCCGTGTCTTATAATTTTTTGTACCATTGTTGTATACCTTAGATTTATTCCATTCCTACTTATTTAGTATTTTAATGGCATTCTGAGTGTTGCCGTTTCTTAAACTTCATCTTCTTGATGGTTGTACATACAATTGATTTTTGGTTATTGACCTTGTTCCAGGAAATTTGCTATTGATTCTAATGGCTTCTTGGGGGGACTTCCTCTTTCTGTTCTATGAACAGAGTTTTGTTATTTATTTCTCTCCCTATACCCCTGGGTTTATAGGCCTTTTATCTTTTCTAACTGTATTGCATTAGTTACATAGTCCATATTGAGTGAAAGTAGTTGACAGTGTGTTCCTATTATTAACTTTGCCACTGTCCCTGTGAGATTAAGAAAGTCACTTTGTAGTCTGGATGCTAAGACTTTCTCACGGCTGTGGGATTTTATCAAATGTGTTTCCTGTCACAAGGAGATACTGCTTTTCCTTGTTCTGTTAGTGTAATGAGTTTTTAATACTTTTCTCTTCCTGCAGTGAGTTCTAAGGATTGATTTTCCTGATGTAATCCTTATGCTATATCATAAAATTCTATTTGCCCGTTGTTTTAAACAGTTTTTGCCTGCATGTTAGTGATGAAAATGGTTTATAATTTTCCAGGTTTTGGTGTTTATGCTACACTGGTCATGTTCAGTGAGTTGTTAGATACTTTTCTGTCTTTGGGAAGTGTTTGTTTGAGAGAAGTTATCTGGGCCTGTGGTTTTTGTGTGAAAAGCCTTTTTATAACATACAGTTTCTTTCATAGACTTATAGGAATATACAGATTTTCTATTTGCTTTATCTAAAGGTTTTAAAGAATTTGTCCGTTTCCCTCATGGAAGGCATCGCATTATTGGCACGAAGCTGTCTGTAATGTCCTCGTGCAGGCTGTGCAGAGGCATCTTCTGCTTTCCAGCTCTGTAAAATACAGAGTTCCTCACTTCATCCTCACTTGGCTTTAGGGTTCCGCTACCTTCAAATGATGATGAGGAGGACGATAAAGAGAAAACGCCGGGGAACAGCGGTGTCACCTCGAGGGCGTCACCTGACACTCCGTCTGCAGTATCAGAAAGGCAGTCTGCACCGACTCAGTGTGATGTGGATGTGTTGTTTCTTAGAGAAGATAACCGGAGTGTGTGTGGTCGAGATGATTCAGAGCGTATTTCTTCTACTGTCGATGCACCTCCCAAAGGTGAGATTGTTTTAAAAATTCACTTTGAGTATCAGTGCTAGTTACATTCATCAGATTGTCTTGTTCAGGGCAATGAGAGGTGTGTGTGTGTGTGTGTGTGTGTGTGTGTGTGTGTGTGTGTGTATAAATAGTTAATAAGTCAGATTGATCTGTTATATTACAGATGAGCTGACTTCCATCACTTACAGCTACAGGTAGAGCTTTAAATTTAGAGTAAGAGCATGCATGGTGGCACACATCTGGAACCCCAGCCGGAGGGGCACAAGTCTGAGCCCAGTCTGGGCAGCTTAGCAAGACCTAGTCTCAAAGCTGAAGCTGAGTTCAGTCCCCGGTACTAAAAAATATAAAATAAAATAAAAGCTGAAGGGCCAGGAATGTAGCTCAGTGGCGCCGTGCCTGCCTGGCAAGCACAAGGTCCTAACTTTGATCCCCGGTACCACAAGTAAATAAATAAGCCAAAAATAAGGGCTGGGGATGTAGCTTGTGGGAAGACCCTGTGTTCGACTCACAGCACCTCAAAAGAAAGATCCAAGAGCAGATGCTGGCAGTGTGAGCTCACAGGCCCAGTGCTGCTACTCTGGAAGGAGGGCTCAGGGAGGATCGGCCCAGGAGGTTTGCTGGATTTCCTAACATCTGATTTGAAAGATACCAAATATGTGCTTGGTTTCATGCTTTCCTTTTCGTAGACCTGAAAACTGCTGAAGAATAGGTATAGTGACTTTTTCAAGATTACAACCGGTTAATGGTAAAGCAAAAAGTAGATCCTGGTCAGGACTGAGAACTGTGGCTCTTGCACTTGGTATATGTGGTACCCCTGACATGCGATGCTGGTGCAGCTGCGGTGCACTCGGATGTGTCCGGTTCTCGGGTCGGCACGCGCAGCCACAGCTGCCCCAACTTAGCGCCGAGAGTCCTTTCTCCTTCCTGACCCTTCTGAGTGGTCTTACCAGTGCCATGCACGGTTCATTTTCTGGTCTCCCTCTGGGTGCAGATGTGAGTATGCTCCTCTGATCCACTGTCCGGGCTGGGGCAGGGCCAGTTCTCAGTGTGCATTTCCCGTGGAGTCACATGAAAAATGTGATGTAGGACTATTCGGGTCATTTCTAATCCACTGCTATCTCATAGATTGTTAGTGATGTGAGGACTTGCCAGGCATGGTGGTACACACCTACAGTTTCAGCACTCCGTAGGCTGAGGCAGGAAGATTGTGAGCTCAGTGTCAGCCTTAGTACATAGCAAGACCCTGTCTCCAAAACCAAAGAATACTGTAGAAATTTGCCAGGTCTGCTGGTGCATGCCTATAATCCCAGCACTGGAGAGGCTGAAGCATAAGAATCTCAGTGAGTTTGAGGCCATCCTGAACTACGTAGTGAGACTGCCTTAAAAAAAGGAAAAGAATTAAAAAACATTTTTTAAATAATCTACTACTGCTTAACTTCTTTACTGATTTCTTAATTTTGTATTTCCCTTTATTTTATAGAGAGTCATTCCTACTTAGACCGAAGTTCCCAGCCTGCCACGCTGGGTGAGATAACCAATGCCCCATGCACCAGCCGTGGAAGGGAGAAGCTGTCTCTGAGTAACGTGACAGCGAGGAAGAAACGCGTGTCATCCTGGGACTTGGACAGCCCTGCTGCAGATGCACCCCAGGGGGCAGGTTCAGGGTGGCAGCAGAGTTCGAGTCTGGAACTCGGCCAGCCTGTGGAGTTAGAGGGTTGTATTAATGAGAAAAACATCACAGTGCCCAGAAATGTGCAGGGACTTCCTGGCCTGGAAAACCTTCCAGCACCTTCCAGGGAGCCTGGTGCAGACAGTGCAGGGCGACCCCAGGACAGCGGCGACCCCTGGGGGCAGATGACCGTCTACGGGGCTGACATGGAACTGACAGCCACTGACGTGAGCACAGTTGTCACCGTTTCCCGAGGCCGCAGACAGGGGAGCAATAGAAAGATAAGTGACTCTGAGCAGAAGCCATTCAGGAAGGTGAGGAACAGGAGCTCCGAAACAAAGAGAGAAAGGCCAAAGAGGAAACATAAGATTAGTGCAGGTATGGACCCTGAAGAGAAGGCGGAAAACGGACAGGAAGGAAGCTCTGCACTTGGCGGCAGTGGAGATTCAAGAGACCCAGATTGTACTCTCGGTATAGCACAGCTGCCTCCGGTGAATCCACTGAGGAAAATGACCCTTCGGCATGGCTCTAGCCAGGAAGAAAGACACAGTGCCGAGTGCAGTGGAGAGGAGAAAGAATTGGGTGCAGCCAGCCCACGGGAGGAAGCGCGGGAGGGAGGTATGCAAATGCGGTGGAACTTGCTAGCGTGCAGTAAAAGCAAAGCTTCCAGGCAGACATTTGTGATTCATAAGTTAGAAAAAGAACACTTAGTCCCAAACCAAGCGGATAAAGAAACCATTTCTGAAAGCCTAGACGTTGCCCATGAATTTCAGACAACTGACCTTTCCTCCAAAGAAAATGGAGATTTATGTGACTGTGAGACCCAGAATATGTTGAAGCTGAAAATGTCTGTCAGTGATAGTCAGCCTGCTCAGCAGGATCAGTCAGAAGTCAAAAAGGCTAAGCAGAAAGTAAACAGAAACACAGAAATAATTTCTCAAGTGAACCAGAGGTATGAGAGTAATGGTAAAGATGTGTGTGCCTCCCAGCCAAGGAACATTTTCTTCCAAACCCAAGTGGATAAGGAGACCGTCTCTGGAAACCTAGGCATTTCAGAAGACTTTCAAATGCTTGTTCCTTTCATGAGAGATCATGGAAACCTATGTGATCGTGAGAACCAGAACGTGTTGGATTGGCGAAAGCCGGCCACCATCGTGTACCCGGTTCAGCAAAATGAGTCCAAGATTAATAAGAAGCTTAGGCAGAGAATAAATCGGAAGACAGAGATAATTTCTGAAGTGAATCACTTTGATGATGACAAAAGTTGGCATCACTCAGAAAAGGGTAACTCACTCTGCCTCCAAAAGGAAAAAGAAACCCTCCCTGGAGACCCGAAAGACTTGAGTGAGTTTCAAATTCCTGTTCTGCCCACCCAGGACAGCGATTTGACTCAGAACTTCTCTGCGGTGAGGAAGCAGGTCCATGGTGTGCAGGCTGCTTGTCAGAGTGATTCCAAAACCCGCTTGGCTAGAGAAAGAAGTTCTCAAAATACAGAAATAATCTCTGAGCTCCCCCGCCCCTGTGTGAGTAGAGGCAGAGGCCTGCACACTCCAGAAAAAGGTAACTTTGTTACAACCCAGAAGGATGAAAAAACTGTTTCTGCAAACCCAGAAGTCACACATGAGTCTCAAACAGTTGATCTTCCCACCAAAGATCATAGAAACTTATGTGACTATAAGACGCAGAAAAGCTGTGTCACCAATACGCAATTTCCTCAGCAAAGTGAATCAAAAACAGATAAGAAGCTTAGGCAGAAAGTAAATCGGAAGACAGAAATAATTTCTAAAATCCAGGTACATAAGGATATTGATAATGATGTACATGGCCAAAAAAGCTACTCAGGAGATCTTGGTTTTAAAATCAGTAAATCTAAACCAAGACCTGATCACCAAGGCCTTATCAGGGAATATTATATGGAGATCAACAGTAATGAGAAGGAAAATTACGACCAAATTCCAGATCCCTCTAAACTAGTTAAAAAGCCTAAGAAAAAATCATCAGGCAAGGCAAGGAGCATTTTGACAAGAGAGCAGGGCAAGCTGGCTTTGCCATCGTGGGCAGATTCTTCTCATACCGCCTGTCCAGAGTCTGGCTTAACACGCATCGCCAGTGGGCCAGACTCTGCCGCTAGAAGACTACGCTCTGTAACAGACGCAGAAGGCAGTGATCCCTGGGTGGAAGCCAGAAAAGCTGGGCAGTGCCAGACCACAGAGGTGACCGTGACAACATCCAGAGCAAAGCAGAGGAAGACCTCCACGGCTCTTCTACCAGGCTCCCCGGAAGCCATAGCAGTCGCACCGCACACTGGGCGCAGGAGGCCTGCTGGCTCTGAGCATTCCGACCAGGAAAACCTTGGGGAGAGCAAGAGCACTGGCAGCACTGAGCCAGACTTTTACACGGATGTGTTCCAGCCTTTTTCTCAGATATACTCATCTGATATACAGGGTTGTTCCTCCGATGGTGTCTGTGTGGGTTCAAAGCCCATGAGTGTTTCTTCTCATAAAATCCTGATCATTGAAGACCATTCTGCCCCTGAGTGCTCACGTGTCCTTCAGGTCCATGGTGATGGGCTCAAGAAGACAAAGGAAGTCCAAGCCAGTGTCTTTCAGAGAGCACAGAAGCCAGAGGCAGGTAGGGCAGTCAGTGCTGTCACTTAGCCAGTCACGCACTTCCTGTTAGGGTTGGTACATTCAAAGAATTTTAAACCAGTACATACATGGTGAGCTATAGACACGGCATCAAGGAGTTACAGTTTAGTATGTGGGGAACACAGCATCATGTCGTGGAGTTCAGACCCACACGGGTGGCAGTTACCATGAAGTTGCCTAACTCGGCTTCAGGCAAAGAACTTCTTTTTTATGTTTTGGAAGGAAGTTAAGTATTTTACTTGTGTGTGATGAGCTGCACCATTTTATTTTGCCAGATAGTTGCATGTTTCTTAAGGGTGGACTCTCGACCCAATAGCATGTATTTAGTTGGCCCAGCCCTTTTCTAGGGGTTGTAGCGGACAGGTGGTGGGACCACCCTTTCCCCTGAGTGTTGGCGAAGGAGCAAAGAGGAGTGGTGAAATGGGGTAAATCTCTTGATAAAAGCAGACAAATTCACCACTGGATTTGATTAGCAGAGTTTGCAAAGATATCACTAAATAGCATTTTAGGTCCTGATGGATAGGTGAGATTTTTACCATTAGTGTTTGGCTTCTTATTTATCCCAGTTATCAAAATAATACTCATACAGAAAGTCAAAAGTAGAAAATCAGAAAAAAGCAGGGGTGAAAAAATCACCAGGGAGTATAGGCCACATTTCCTAAATATGTACTCACTTGAAATCTGCAGATTTTTAAAATCTCCATTTGAAATCTGCTCTATAATGTTACTCATTCCACTTCTTTTCCTTCACATTAGATCCTAAGAATTTTTTTTCTTTTTATCATCTTGGTCAGAGATTATAACACGTTGTAATACTAGAGATCCCTGTCAACTCTCAGTGCTGGGTCTGCACAGCTCTGCCCACCTCCTCACAGGCGGTGCACAGGAACTCTCGTCAGCTGATGTGATTTCAGAATGGGTGAAGCTTTTTCCAATGTTAGCCTCTTTTCCTCTCAACACTGAATAGTTTTGTTTTGTTTTGTTTTGTTTTTTTCCTCATTGAGTGTATTGGTACACTCTAGGCCTACAGTACAGTTGCATTCATCATTGAGATCTTGTACCTCTACATGACAGGTCTTGGTTCTCATTTTTCCCCCATACCCCTGCCCTCCCTTCACCCCCTGGACCCTTGCCTATTTACAAAAACTTTATTTCCATTTTTTCATTTTCTCAGATTTATTTCTTTTCCCTTCTTGCCTTTCCCCTACCCTTCCCACTTCCCCTACACCTTTAGCCCTTTTCTTCCTATTTCACATTGTCAATTATACCATTAGGATTTTATTTACAATTATAGTTTTTCACACCAGAGAAATTATTTGGTATTTACACATGTGTGACTTATTTATTTCACCTAAGAGTATGACCTCAATATGCATCCATTTTCCTATGAATGACTGTAGTTTCTCATTCTTTATGGCTGAGTAGTACTCTGTTTTATAGAAAACCACATCTTCTTTATCCAGTTTCCAACTGATGGGCAATTGGGCTGTTTCAAAGTTTCAGCCATTACAAACTGTAGCGCTATAAACATGGGTGCGCATGAATAGTTAATTTTTAAATTTTTCTGCCAGTGATTTGCATACCACTATTAACCTATATCTATTTCTGTGCCTCTGGGTAGACTTAAAAATATTCATGGAAATGCTCCCTGCAGGTAACAGAACATTGCAGGACCTGACAAACACCAGTTTCTTTTCAAGTGAAACTGCGAAGTCTGAGAGCGAGTCGGGAGATGGAGCCTCCATGCCACCAAGCAGAAAGCGCAGGTGCATCCCGCTCAGCCTGAAGGAGCCCAGCCTCAAAAGGCAAGTGGGTGGGCTTGGCTGCAGTCCTGGGGCAGGCAAGGTGTGGAGAAACAGGACCAAGACCAGGAGGGGGCGCCAGGTTTAAATTGGTTTAGTTTCATTTAGTTACCACTCTACCATCGTCGCTCAGACTGTTACTTGCTAATTGTGACCTTTAAAATTGTCTTCTATGATTTATTCACCCACATTTATTTATTTCCCACCTCGTTCCCTAGAAGTTACTGTGGTTTCTGTGTTCTTTGACCTCAAAGAATTACACTCTTTTTTATTTTTAAAGTTCAAACATACCCCACCAAGACGACTGTGCCCTCCAACCCGATGCCCCTCGAGCCCGCTGGGTATCAGCACTTTGCTACATCTGCTACCTGTTTTGGTTTGTTTTTATTTTTTGCCATGCTTGGGGTCGAATCTAGGGCCCTCAAACTGAGCTGTCTCCCGTCTGTTACTGTTGTTGTTGTTATGGGGTCTTGCCAAATTGACTATTCTGAGCTCCAGTTTGTGATCCTCCTGCCTTAGCCTCCCATGGGGCTGGGATTCTGGGCAT